CAGATTGCTCATTTTAAATTTAGATGTCTGGTTTTGGAGTCAGCCATTAAATCACATAACTTCTACTCCAAAGGGCAGAAAGCACTGGAATGGTGCACACAGCATGGGATAAGGTTTCTCACATACAGCTCTTGAAGGGTTTTCTGCTGCAGGGGTTTTGATTTTTGCCTAAGCAGAGACCTGCTTTAGGGCACTGTACAGAGCTCCATTGCACAAGAGCTAGTACTGATTGGAACTGGTTTCTTTTTTTCCCATGTTTCCCACCTGAAGTGACAAAGGGAAAAGCAGCAAGGGAATGAAAATTCCCAGATGAATGCATCTGGGGAAAAAAAAACAAAACAATGCAATGAAAAAAATTACCACTGAAAGTGACAGAAGAGTGGGTGGATAATAAGCCCAAATAGGACTTGAAAAAACTTCCCTGGAGGCAGACTCTGACAAATACAGTATTGTATCAATACAGAGGTAGAAATCAAGATTTGAGGAAGGAATTGGAAAGGAGCTAAATGGGCCTCTCCTGTGGGGAACCAGGAAAATTGCCACAAAAATTTAAGAAAAAAAATCATACAACAGTTAGATTTGGGCACATAAACAGTTGCAAATAATTAAGTAGCAAGCCGGGATGAGATGGTGAGCAAGGAGTTGAACACATCTGGGCCAGCCCTTCAATTAAAATACATTTGACAACTAGCCTGAGACTGGGGAGGCTACTTAACTGCTTGTTTTCATGTAGCCAGGAGCTACGAACTATACACAGATGGTCCCTAACTCCAGCTGGGATACATTTTCCAGGTGATATCTTACACCAGAAATGTTGCAGAGATTTCTTTTCCTGTGTGTGGTAAGTGTGGTCCCACACCCAAACATTCTGGAGAGATGCAAGCAGCACAGTCACTGTCAGGAAGGCCACGAGCATCCCTGCAGGGCTGCTGGTTCACCCAGTGGGTGCTGCGTGCCTGTCAGTCTGTCTGTGTGTATTCCTGCTTTGAGCTGCTGCTCTGTGTATTGCACTTGTGTAGGAGTAAATATGTGTTTTCCTGTCCTACTGTCCCTCCTCCTCCACTGAATACATGGGACCTGGTGGGGGAGGAAGTATTCCACTGTATCAGATTGCTTAGAGAGAGGAGAAGAGCCCCCTAGACGTGCAAAGGAGTAGTTTTTAATTAAAGAAGTAGTTTTTAATTAGGACTGCATGCTAAGGGTATCAAGATGCCTTGCTTCAGAAAGAGGCAGTTTTCACTCCCCATTCTGTATCTGAACCCAGCTGGAATCTACCTGTCAGAGCAAATGGAAGGAGGGAGTACCTGCTTCATTAATGTCATCTAATCAAGGACCTTATCAAGCGGAATGACAAAGGGAGGAAGCCAAACACAGAGATGTACAATGTACCTGAACAACACTCACAGAGACAACAACAGGGACAGATCTGGTCAGCCAGAGTACGTGGCAAGGGTATGTGGAGAGGGAGGATGCTTGTTTCAGAATGCAGTGAGCACCAAGCTGTTCAGCTGGTGATTTGGGACCATGGGGCAGGTAAGAAGGTTGAGGATCTGGGCAGGGCTGTCAGAAAACCAGAGAGGCCATGCCTGTACTTGGGGATCTGCAACAATGCATTTGCTTGTGAGGGTAGAGGAGGGAGGCATGTGTGTTTTCAGTAGTGACCCTCAGCCTTGACAGCCAAGGGGAGAAAGGGAAAGGCTGTTTGTTGGTACTTGAGTGAGCCCTGGGCAGAGGTGCTGTTGAAGTTGCTGCTGGTTGAGCAGGAAAGCAGCAGCCACTTTCACCAGCCTGGGACAGAGACACCAGGCCCCCACACGGGTCCAGCAGGGAGAAGGATGCCCAGCCCCAGATCTATGGGTGGCAACCCCTTCCTTTAACATCCCTTTGCACAACTGGGTACAGAGAATTGTCAGAAGCAGCAATGCTAGAAATACCCAAATGTATGCCAGGAGAGACACATTTTAAAAAATCTACCAGCAATAATTTGCATATACCTTGCCTGAGGGGAAAGCCTGAGTGGTACCACTTATGACAAGAACATTTTATTTCAATTTGCCAAACACTCAAGCTGCCTCCTCAAACCCGAGCTTCCTTCAGCCCAGCTCCTGACAAGAAAATTACCTTCATTTCCTCTCTCTTTTTCTTTCGAACATGTCATACAAGCAGCAATAAACTGTGCACCAAATAACCTCTCTCACTGTAGAGACAAAGCCCAAGTACACTGATTTGGGAAACCTCTCCATTAATACCCAATGGCTTGGACTATCCCAAGACTTACTTCTGCCATAACACAATGCTCCTTTGAATATGCTTGTTCTTGAGTTTTTCTGTGTTACCTAAAATTTCTGCAGGTCATACCACAGAGGGAGGAAGAGGAGGAAAAGCATGGTGGAAAGGATGTCTCATGACCCAGCTGGAGAGTGCTGAGAGTCATGGAAGGAATGGAAGGTAACTGTGGACATGAGGGAGAGCTAGAGAACCCGTGTCCATGGGGAAAAGACACAAGGAAAGGAGAGAGGGATTTTTTACAGGTCTCTGACCAAAGGATGCTCCAAGGTAATTCAGAGTATTAATCAGGGCAAGCTGTTTTGTTCCATCTAAATTGAAATGAGTTTGCCTGTTTATTTCACTAATTTTGAACCAGACAACCATGATTTTGGAGCTATGGTAGAGCATACACTATAGCAATTATTAATGTAATTACTAGCATAGGAAATAAGAGAATTCTGATTATTGTGAAAGTTGAGCAGTGAGCAGAGGGTGGTAGTGGCCATGGAAAAGGTAGAATGCTGAACTACACAAGCCCATTTCCATGAAGGGATAATGAAAAGCTTCTGAACAGAATTTGTATGATATAATTTAAGGTCTTTGTAACACATCATCTTTTTATTCCCACACTCCTGGCAAACTAACACCTCTCTATATGCATAATATTTTATAATAACTATGATCCCAAAGAATAAATGACTATATTATGACGTTTTCTCTAGTGTTTACTGTGTTTTCCTGGCATGTGTTGTTAATAAGCCCCATGTCACATACAGCATTTTAAAATGGTTTACAGGAGAATTCTTTTCATAGCCTCTAAGACAATGCAAAACCTACTTCATCCTTACATACACAGCATCTAGCTGCAAACTTCTCAAGGTACAGACATGTCTCCCTGGAAACACAGACTACAACAGATGCATTATCCTTGGTACCTGAGAGAGGTCACTGTCACGTATTTCCAAATAAGTGCAAAAAGCCATCAAATGAATTTAATTGCCTTCATTTCTTTTAACTTTTTCCAGCAGAGCATGGGGCTTGCCTTCAGGCAGTGGCAATCTTATTCCTTCTGCTTTTAAAATCTGTGTTGAATAATCACAGATGTTTTCATTAAAACATAGTAAAGCAAAATCCTTTAACTGTTCTGTTAAAATGCTGGCTTCAGCGATGACTTGGACAATTAATTAAGGTAAAATAAAATGCTTTTATTGTCTACATCATATTGGTTTCAATCCCTTTACTCTTGTTTTGAGAAATATAGCATGCAGGAATATAAAATCTATCTTTTCAGCACCATTCACTGTATCTTTACCTTTAAATGTGTAATACAAAATTCCCCATTATGCACAGTCTTTTTTAAAATTATTATGTTCCAATCTTTTGGTAGCATATTTCTTTCATTTCTCTACTGTAATAACCATACATTGAGGAAATGGTTTTGCTGAGCCCTTCAGAATGATATACAAGTCTTTTTCCTGAACAGGCATAGATGATTTACGGCCATAGGTGATATATATAGATATATATATATATATATATATATAATCCCTCTCAATACAGTATCCTTTGTTGGTCATTCACTCAGTTCAGGTGGCTAACTGAAATGACTAGATTTGATCTTACAATAAGAGGGGTGCATGATTTTGCATCACATAAAAACACTGCAGCCATATGGGCAACTTCTTTTGTGTCTCTTCAACAAAGATACTACAGCTACTCCATTTCCTATTCTGGAACCTGCCAGCAACACCTGCCATTGGTTCTGTCTCATTTTCTCCAATACTTTTTTCCTCTCTCGCAGCCTTTTTCTTAATGGCACTTGTATGCCTTCCAGATAGAGATTACTTATCTTCATGTGTAGTTTCCTGCATGAGATTAGACAAATTTTTTTCAAAGTCCAAACCCATTTTAATCCACCAGCTACTTCCCACCTACTGCACCCGTGATGCTCTGAGACATTCTAGCAGATGGAAGCCATACTACAGGCCCTGCTCGACATTACTGACTTTGCAGTGATCATTCAGCAACGATTGGGGTGCACACAACCTAACGCAGGCGGGCTTCGCTGTTATAGTTCACAAGCGTTTCATTACGATGAGTATAAAGTAAAGCCTTTCTGGGAAGGGTGAGTCAGCACAACCTTCCGCCACCTTCCCCTGCACGAACAGCTGCCAAAAGCCACAAGCCAGCCGTGCCTGCCCACCGCGGCCGCCCACAACACTTGTTCCCTGCACTCCGAAGCGTTACTTGCAAACCAGGCAGCGCTTTGTGTAACCGGGTGTTTTAAAGCGCTTGCAGGGCGCTGTTAAGCGTCGCCATCCCGGTTTCAGGGGCGGATGATGAGGGAAGCGGCGTCGAGCACAGGGCACCTCCCGCCCCAGCGCTCGGGCACGTGGCGGCCGCCCGAGGCCGGAGCCGCGCCCTGCTCCGGGCGGGGCCGCTGCGCCCGACTTGGCGGCGGCACCCGTGCCCCCGGCCCGGCACAGACAGCCGGACCCCGAGAGGACGCCAC